GAGAGGGCTTTTCTGCCCCTTCTAGGCTGTGTGTGGTTCAGCTGATGAACAGTTCTGAAGAGTTTAATTTCCTGTCAATGCAGGAGGAGTGACTTTAGTCAGAAAATAAACACAATAAATTTGAAGAGCAAAGACAATTTTCTGGTTTTGCAGAAAAGAAAAATATCAATGTGATTATTTGCTCTTATTAGGAACTCATGCATACATTCAAGATTCTATTACTCAGCATAATAGATATTGTAATTTATTTTTATTTTTTTTAGATTGCAAATGAACTTGAAGTGAGCATTCTAAAATGAAGCCGATCTTTTTTTTTCAGGCAGTTGTCCAGTCTTCCTCAGCTGGTGAGAGTAGATGACTCAAAGGCTTAACAGGATATGGTGTTAGATACCTGTAGTTGACTGATTTGAATTTGGCCCAGGTTAGTAATGCTTGAAGTCATGACCATCTGTCTGTTGTTCAGTGACCTGTATAAAATTAGCTGGTATTCTTAGTTCAGTTCTTAGTAGACAGGTGTCCGCTTCATGAAAACTGGCACCAGTATCAAGTTTGTTGGCTGTCTCAGCAGAGGTTATCTGCTGATGAACAGGCAAAGAAACAGTAATCTCCTAATTTCAGAGGTATGTTTTTCACTTTTCAGGGTTCAGACATGCTGATGGATGAACATGTGTAGAGACAAAGTTTATCTGCTGCATTTGTTGTATTTATCTTTTGGTAGAGAATGTAGCCCATGTGTTTGAGTGTTTGAATTCCACAATAATTTTTTTTTGAATGCCCTACCTAGTTGTTCTGGCTTCTTAACAGAAATCTTACATATAGCAGCTGTCCTCAGCTGTTCTTTCTGATGAAATGAGATAAGAGAACATGCTTCATATGGTGGCTTTTTTTTATTTTTTTCTTCACTTAAATGATATCAACCCTATTCAGGCAGCAAGAATTTGGAAAGAGAAAGCACCAAATCTTTCACATGTAGTTATATTTAAAAAAAAAAATCTGTAGCGACTACTTTTTCTTTTTTTTTTTCAGATGTAGCTGTAGGAACTGATGTAATATAATTTCGTGTAGTTTATGTATCCTGGGATTGCTCTCATAATAGCAGCAATAGCTGCAGTTAGCATTTAAACTGTACTTTGTATGTTGAAACCTTTGTACAGACTTGTTTGCTAATGTTCCTGATTGGTTGCATGACTCTTGATGGCAAAATTTGCAATATACAGAAAGCCTGTGCAGGATTTGACTGTTTACATACAGTGGAGATCTCTGCAGTGACAGTTGCCTATGGAGACGCGGGGATAATAGAGACCAAAGTCTTTCACTGGGAACTGTGCTGCAGTTCAACCCATATGTTGGCATAAAATGCATGGGAGAGCTGTCTTATGTTCCTCCTCACAGGGTTAGGGCCTGGCATCGCTTCTTCAGCCCACATGTAACATCTCTACCTAACACTGAACTATTCTGGCTTTTTGCAGGGGTTGCTTTTAATCCTGCCTGAGCTTCTTTAAAGTATATTATCTTGCAAGCAGTGATTCAGACTTAACTGTTCCCACTGCAGTGTGTAGGACTCTCCTCCTATTTCATTGACATAAAAATACACACCAGTAAGTTATAAATAGTTCTTCAACATTCCTGAAGATTTATGGTGAATAGATGCTTTCTGAACATCCATTGAGGGATAAGCCCAAATGGTCATATTTAAAGTTAATTGGCTTTCTCACAACTCGGTGCATTTTATTGCCAGTAATAGAGTGTTAAGGTTTCTAATAGGATCTTCTGCTTGCAGAGCCTCTGTTGATTAAGTGGTGCAACATGTTCATTTCAGAGGGCTGCTTAAATCTCCAGTAAAAGTAGGTTAGGTGACTACAGATCACCTCCTCGTTGACAGGAATTCCCACGATTAATAATAGTGGATTTTTTTAAAAAAGAAGCATGACTCACTATTTGTTCCCCTGCTATTGTTACCAACTAGAGTTAATGTTTTCTTCTAGAACAAGAAGAATAAGGAATAGGTTTTGGTGTCACCATAGATACCCCGGGTTGGCATTAAATACTAGGATGTGCTAGAAAACCCAAGATTTGGCCTTAGCAGTTGTGAACTGACAATGTAGGTGGAAGATGGAGCAGAACAGGGCTGCAATTAGAGAAAAAGCGTTAGGGACATACTCAGCTTCTCTGTCCCTTGATGCTGTCTTCACTTCTACCAAACATTTTACTATTTGACCAAGGTTTTGGATGCAAAGTAAGGATTTGCATGTCAGTGCTAGCTAGCTGGATAACTGTTATGATGCCTAAAATATTTCTAGATACTCATTCATCTGCCATTTTCTAGCAGCCTAAAATGTAATTTTAACATCTGTTTTGTCACTGTACTGCCATCATGTTGGGCAAGCAACCAGAAGTAAACTCTAATTTTAACCTTATTTTGTGGCTTCATTATTGTCTTGAGTGTTCCTGCTTCCTTCTTTCTCATGGGTCCTACTAATAAATAAAGGTTTGAGAGCAGAATAGCAGTTACTGAAGAGTGAACTCAAGCATAGTTTTAGTCCTGTGCTGCTGCTATAGGATTTCCAATAGCGTTTAATTGTAGGCTTGCTAGTTTGGAGATTAGCTTCTTAGTCTTAGCTCTCCTCTTCTTTCTGAGAAACTCCAAAAAAATAAACTTGCAAAAAGCCTCTGAACACTTATTTCCCATGAAGCTGTAATCATTTAATAAAACAAAAGAAATCAATGCCTGAGGAGAAGCAGCTCATGCCTGTGGGAAAAAATCTGTCCCTTTGCTCAATTTGATATGACTATAAAATTACAGTGTTCTGTGAGCTGAAGAAAAGAAGATATCATCAGAGGAGAGCAGTTAAAGGTTTGAGGTTCTTTTTGAGAAATATTCCTATGTAGTTTCCTAGAAATAATAAATAAAGCAGTTCCTGAAAGGGATTCAGGAACTGAGTGCAATATTCAGTTTTATCTTATTATTGAATAACAGAGATGAATTCCTGCAATTTTTTTGTTAGAACTATATGAGAGAATGACTTTTTAATTTCTGTAGAACTTTGACTTCAGAAACATTTCAAGTTCAGGTGAAATAAATATTTATATATGTAAACCAACCCTAGATAAATTACAGTCTTGTGATTATGGGAGGTCGGATATGATTGGATCTCTTCTGTTTCTATGTAAAAGTATGGCTGGTCTTTTCACCCCTGTTTTCTAATGCTGCAGGTGAATGTCTTCACTTCCACTATCTTGACAGCTCTAGTACGTGTTTTGCCAATCTCTTGGAGCTCTTCAGCTCTCCAGAAATAATTATATTCACGAAATATCATTGGACTATATTGTCGGTAAAATGAGGGGTCTAACCAATTATGGATTTCCCTTACCTAATGAACACTTCGTTGTTTGTAGAAAGGGGAGCAGCTTCTATTTGACATGTTTAGAGAGCAACCTGCTGCATGGTATGAAAGCGTGTTATCTGGAACTTCGGAGTTTCTTCTTAAAACCGCTTCAAGACAGACATGCCAAACTATCCAACTCTCCAGGGACCACTGAGCTACCAGCTGTTGTAGGGTGAATTTTCTTTAGATTTTATCTTGAAAAAATGTCCTTCTGTGAAACTGTTAACTTCTAGCAAAGCTATTTTTTTGACATTTAGCTGAAAAATTTTTAGCTGTTCTTCTCTACGTAACTTGCAAACTGGTTAGTGAAATAATTTTACATGGTTTTATTTTACTTTTTGTTCAGTTTGACACTTGTTTTAGGTGCCAGAAGTATAGATTCCCTGTTTTCCAGTTGCTTATTTCTTTTTCTCCCTTTAACATTTGATTCACAGTGGCATCTGTGAACAGTGATTTTTTTTTTTTTTTTTCTTTCTGAGGGACATACTCTTTTGCTGCCAACAGTCTTGAGTCTTTCCTCCTTTCATTTTTAGATTGCAAAAACTATAATAAAGCCTGAATTAACAGACTTGAGCCACTTACTGTCTTTAGAAATTTGAGTTGTAGGGGTTTAGAAACTGTGGTTATGAATTTGTAGATCATAGATTTTTTTCAAACAGGCACTGTTTGACAAGACCATCATAGAATTTTTTTTTTTAAACTTATGATGTGAATTAATTATCTGAATTAAACCATTAGCTAACGCTTTGATCACAGAATCATCGTAATAACTGGTAATGGTTAGCAGCTTTCTAGGCTTTTACATTGGGAACAGACCTAAATCCCAGTGAAATTAGTTAGTATATGTGTTCTTTGGTTTAAGGGCCACTGTAGAGTATACTGTAGTGTGAATGCCTGTCTGAAATTTCAAGGTATTTTGTCCTGTAGTAAAGGAAATGATACGTTAACACGAAGCTGCTTTCACTGATGGTTGCTGTGCTGTACTCAGCTGTGAGAGTGCAAGACCTCTTGGTGCACTGTTTTTAACAGTATCCTAGGTATCGCTAGTTCTTTAAGACAGGCTTAGCAGTAGCGTGTGGACCTAGGTTCGGATCCTCAAAAATGCATAGATATCCAACTTTTATTTTGATTGTTAGTAACAAAGCACTTAAGCACATCTTAGGATACGGATGCAGTTCTTGATACTGCAGTACTAAATTGCCTAGTGCATGGCATGCTAATAAGTGTAGTCCAGTTATTACCAGTAGGACCGAATGTTAGTAATAAATGCCTTGGGGACTGTGGATTTCCTGAATTCAGTGCTTGTTGTTAATTAGTATGGTGTTTTCAGCGAGCGTTTTAATTTTTTGGCATCTGTTTTCATATCCATTGAGTCAACACTGGTTTTCTGAATGGGGATTTGCATGGCAATGCTGCTTTTGATTTACTGTGTGTAAAGGTAATTGAACAGTGCTTATTATTAGAGACTTAACTGAAATGACCTGTGTTTGCATTTTGCTCTTGCTCGTCCACAGAATCCTCAAAGCGATAACTGTTCACACGCCAGGATCATTTATGGGAATTGTTGACCTGCAAAATTCAAATTTTCTTGCTCACTTCCTTTTCATACATTAGGTCCTGTTACTGAAGTCAAAACAGATATATATGTCACCAGTTTTGGACCTGTTTCTGATGTAGAAATGGTATGTATTTCTGGGGTTAAAATGCCATTTCCTGGTTCTGAGAAATAATTAACTGCACTAAGAAGTGGATGCTTCATCTGTACTGTTCTGTCAATCATGCAAAGCAGGCAAGATTAGTAACAGCTTAATTTACGGGTTATAATTAGATACATCAGGCCTGGTTCTGGTCACACTTTCACTGTTTTTTGTCTGGCTTAAGGAATTCACTTCGTAGGTTTTAAAACAGACTTTCATGATGTAGAGGCAGAATCAGGCCTTGCAGGGAGCATCTAAGTCAGTCTACTGCGGGGAAAATGTGTAGTATCTTTGAAATTGCTTTTCCTTTCTGAAACTTGTGTTATTCTCAAGTGAATAATAATGGCATAATTTCACAAATACTTGTTGACATTTTCATTTCAGATGATTTGCTGATCTTTCTGGGCCTTTTAGCATCACTTTCAGAAAATGTTTGACTGATAACTGTTTTCATAAGTGTCTGCAGAAATTGGATGTAAAAGTGACATGCATGAAATAGTCACAAAAGAGAAACGTTACATTTGCATGTACTGTTATTTGTGCCTGAATGGCATCTGTATTCGTTTGAGGTTAAATCCAGCAAAACTTTCATCAACTTCTGTAATCCAGTGGTATACTCTTAAATTGTACAGTAGTTTCTCTTTTTGTAAAATATCCAA